TCGGGTGTTATTTCATGCTGTCCTTTCTGATAGAAGGGACCTGCAGGGTGGGAACTGCGTGGCTTGGTTAGGCACAGAGGAACGATTCCGTAATACGAGCTACGGAAAGAAAGAAAAATCAGCCCTGCGGCATGCTTCTGCCTGTGCCGTCGTCAGGTCTGGAAGTCGATCGTTAGGCTCTGGCTGGGTCAGGCGAGCGAGGTAATATTGCCACAGGTGTTGGCTAAAGTTGTTGTGGCTTTAACCCATAAATAAATACTCTACCTGTTTTAATTTTATGCCAGATTTGATCTCTTAAACAGAAGGATGTTTCCACTAGATGCCTGTTTCACTCTCTTTCTTCGCAAGTTTCCTGACATGCTTAGTCCTTTAAGTCTGGAAAAGAGCAGAAGTTGTCCTGATGCAGCCGTTTTACACCTGGTTGGCTGTTCCTCACAGCTGTTAGATGGTTTAATCTTCCGGTGCGTTTTCCAGTTCTTCCCTTCGCTCCTGGGGAGGAGATAGTCACATGGACATTGAAGTCCTACACGTGAACTACTTCTGTCACTGGAGTGCCAGCGAAGGTGGCAACTGCCCCAGTGCGAAGCTTGGGGAAGGATACTGCATGCCCGTACCCACGCACACAGCACCTAAGGGGATACTAGTAGTATCTAATTAGTCGGAATGGGTTTTGATTAGGATTCAGGAGGTGATGTTTCCAGGGGTGTAGGGGCTCTCTCATCTTAGCAGCATTAGCTCTCCGCAGGCAGGGCAAGTCAGAGGGGTGAGGCTGCTGAAGTCGGTGTGCTCCCTGAGAAGAGTCTGCTGGGTTGGGTGCCGCTTTGGGTTTTTGGTTTTTGATTTGGAGTGTGTGTGTTTGTGTGAACCCCCAGAAAGAAACACCATATAGAGATATTTAGAAGAGTGTGTAAAGTGGAAGCTCAACACAAAATGCAGAGTTGAAGGAATTATTTTTAAAAGATAGTATCGATGGGATCTTTTATTAAAAGCTTTAACTTTTTTTTTTTAGACGTGTTCCAGGTTAGTAGTTGCATTAACTATTTTAGCTCCATGCTGATTATGAAATTTGTTACTGCCTTTTCTGCTTGGTTTGTGTGAGAGGGCAGACAAAAACATGTTTTGTTTCGTTCCCTCAAGATTTCTTTTTCTCTAGTTCGTGCTATCACCATGCCTCTGGGCTGATCTGGACCTAACTTTTGCTCATACAATTGCACTGACTTCTACAGAGTTGTTCCTTCAATGTATGGATGCATAAGAACACATCTTTTTTGCTTTATTTATCTGAAAGTCACATTTCTATTCTCAGTAAAGCCCACACAGAGTTTTATCGTGGACAGTCTCATTGCTCTTTCCTTCTCCAAAATGGAATGCATTTCCCTGTCTGATTCGAAAGGGTGAGAAGATTGCACTAAAGCATACTTTTTCCAAAACACATTAAAATTTACAGACTTGCCAAATAAACTGGGGGTGAGTTCAGGTCAGATGCTTACTTATACACTATATTCTGTTCATTTTCTGGCATTTAATTTAAGATTCGTTTATCTGAGGGCCTGGATAATATAAAGTATGCCTTACATGTATTATGCTTCACGTTCCATAAAACTGTACTTGTCTGCAGTTATTCTGATATAATTCACAATTGGTGACTTAGAGACAAGAAAGCGTTGCGACGTATTCTGAAACTGCCTTTTCTAAATGTAGTGTTGAAAAGATGAATTACTGTAGGCCTGAGACCCTTGTAGGAGCCTTATTAGTTTTGGAATGCAATCAGCAACGCTTGCTTTCTTAGTCCTTTACATAATTATTCTCATTGCATATGTCACATACATAGAAAGCAGCCAGTAGGAATTTATGTCTAGGGTAGTCTAAGCTAGAAATTCATGTTTTACGTGTGTTTATTTTTACTTTATTTTTTTACCTTTCTGACTTTCCTTTTAGTGGTAGAAATCCCTGTACGAGCTGCATACATAAAAGCACTTTGAATGCACCTGTAGCTGATTTCTTATGTATAAGTAAACCCACTGCTGCATAAT